TTCAAATCACCGCCAGCAGAAACGCGCACAAAGAGGCACAATACCCACCCACGTTATCAAACCCACAAGCGCACCCATCGCACACTCAGACACACATGCAGACATGCGCGCACACACACACACATTCATGCACGGCATGTACATCAATCTCTCTCTCTTTTTCTTTCTGTGAGCCTTGCTCGGGTCGAAGTTGCTGCTAACATCGTCGTGTCTCGACTTGTGACTTCAGAACCAATTCCAGGAACAGCACTGCTACAGTACGAAGCAACGGACAACGCGGCGGCTTTCCTGGAGCCAGAGCCAGTGGTTCTAATGGAAGTGTGGACTACCACCGACACTTCCACGCTCGTTGCCCCACAGTCACTGGCCATCACCGTCCCTGAAGACCACTACTTCAGCGTCTTTCGTCACGTACGTGCCACACCTTTCATGTAAATGTGTTGTGTATGCATGTGTGCGTGTGTGCATGCATGTGTGCGTGTATGTATGTGTGTATGTGCGTGTGTGTCAATTGTGGTGTGTTTGTTTGCGTGGTGTGTTGTTGGGAAAGGTGGGAAGTGTCGGAGAGCAGTGTTGAGGTAGTGCGACCTGTGCCCTCAATGCTGATCGTTCGTCACGCGTGGATGAATGTTCAACTTACACTTCTTGTCTTGCATCTTGACATTGTCGCTGCATGACCTCGCGTGCACCGCGGATGAACGACAGCAAGTCAACACCCCAATTGTGACATTGCTCGACTACAATGGAACCGAAAGTATGTTCAACCCGCAGAAGGAGTGAAGGAGCTTCTTCTTCTTGTTGTTGTTGTTGTTGTTGCTTAAGTTGTTGTTGTTTAAGTTGTTGTTTAAGTTGTTGTTGTTTAAGTTGTTGTTTAAGTTGTTGTTGTTTAAGTTGTTGTTGTTTAAGTTGTTGTTGTTGTCGTAACGGCTCCTCTTGCGATGTGAACTATCAATCAAACGCTTGTGTGTACGCCTACACAGCAGGTACACACAGCTACACCCACATACACATGTACACGCACAACATAAATCCCCATCCCAACCAAACACTCACACATTGGACTTCTCACGCTGTGTTTTGCACGCTGTCCTTTGCACACATGCGTTCTCGTTCTTACAGTCTTGACCACGGCTGGCGTCATGTATATGCATTTGACCTCTGCTCCCATCACCACGGCGCCGTTTGTTGGTGATGGCAGCAAGGTTAGCTTGTGCCTTCTGTCCGTGCTGTGTGACTGTTGACATGTACAGCTGACACGCATCACTCCTGTACGCTTGCTGGTATGCAGCAGACACCACTCACTATACCCTGACATTGTCTCACTCTTGCTCTCTCTCTCACTCACACACACACACACTCGCACGCAACAAGGTGAGGATCATGTTCAAGGCCGAGTATCTCTGGGACGTGTCCACAATCAGTCCGTACGTCATCTGGGGTGTCGCCACGTGCATATGGCCCAACTACAAGCTCAAAGCCCTTCAAAGCAGCGAGTTGATGACGAACCTGACACTTGCAGCAGCAACCACAACCACAACCACAACCACAACCACAACCACAACCACAACCACAACCACAACCACGACAATAACGACCACAACCACGACCACAACTACGATCACGACCACAACGACCACAACCACGCTTCCGCCAACAACCACGACCACAACATCAACTACATCACAGACGACAACAAATGCGAATCGTGAGTGAGTGAGTGAGTGAGTGAGTGAGTGAGTGAGTGAGTGAGTGAGTGAGTGAGTGAGTGAGTGAGTGAGTGAGTGAGTGAGTGAGTAAGTGAGTGAGTGAGTGAGGGAGTGAGTGAGTGAGTGAGGGAGTGAGTGAGTGAGGGAGTGAGTGAGTGAGTGAGTGAGTGAGTGAGTGAGTGAGTGTGCGTGTATATTTGCGCGTGTGTGTGTGCGGTGAATGTGCAGTCTTGCGTCCCTGACGTTCCTCATGTCTCTGTCTCATTCTCGCTTCTCCGCGACTCACGAGTGCGTGCACTGCCCTTTCACATGACCGTGTGTACTTCTTCAGAGCTGTGTACTTTGTTCATGTTCTCGCCACCGCTGCTATCAAATGACTCGACGTCTGACACGGACGTCGGCACCGCTTTCCGAAACACGCTCTCCCCTCGTACGTAGTCACTCTTGAATGCAACGACAGACTCCACATCACTTGATCGCATGTACATGTACACGCGGAATACGAGTGTGGTGTTCCTGACAAACAACACACACACACACACACACACACACAAATGTACACACACACACACACACACACACACACACACACACACACACACACACACATGCACTCACACATGCACTCACACATGTGCGCACCATCCTTCAGGTGTGCCGGTCCTGAGCACCTATCTCAAGAACGCCGCGCTTCTCCTTGACAAATCGGGCGCAACCGTCTGCTTCGACGCCAGCGAATCGGCGGTGCGTGTGTGCAAAGTGGATGGGCGTGTGAGTGAGCATATGATCATGCGATCAGCATGCCTCCTTCATACGCACACACAAATACACACAAACACGCACACACACACACGCACACGCAAATATGTTCATGCCAACAATATCTCGCTGAGCTGATGTCATGTGCGCCGCTCATTGCATTCGCTGCAGGTTGTGGACGCGTGGACGTCACTGGACACCGAGTATGAAGTGTGTTTCTCAAGTACAAAGTGCATTACAGCTGCGGCCCCTTCACGATGGACAGCGAAAGCAAAGCCCGCAATTGGTGTGTCGGGCGTTGCATGCGGTGTTGTACCTTGAATTACGCAGTTGTGCAGGATGTTCAGTGCGCTTGACGGGCGTCTGACAACTCTTCTTGTGTTGTGCACTCGCCCTACCCATCTATTCACATACTCACGTGTCTCACATATACACCACAATCTGCCTTTGACATTGCACGCAAAATGCCAGCCGTGGACTGGCAGCGTCTCGCGCTGATGGTCTCTGCTGGTGGAGTGCTGTTGCTTATCGTTTCCATCACGCTTGGTGTCGTCGCGTGCAACCGCAGCTGCCGTGTGAAACAGCTTCGACAGGAGCTTGCTGCTGCCGACACCTTTGGTGACTCAACAAAGCAACACAACGCCTCGCTCTCAAGCAGCGGTGACCCTCCAGCACAGGTTTACTCACGGCTGCAATCTCGTCGCGATCAGGTCAGCGCACATCTTGTACACGCGTGCTTGTGATGGCGGTGTGTGTGTGCATGCAAACACGTACGCGTGTCTGCTATGTGTTAATGTCGTCTGCACTTGCGTGTAATGTGCTCATGCACCGCAAACGTGAGAAGCGCACTTTTCCAACGTTTGTACTCATGTTGTCGTGTTGCTGTGGTATTGTTGAATACTGTCTCTGCCATCTCTCTTTCTCTCTCACGCACACGCACACACACACTCACGCACACACACATACATACACACACACACACACATTCACTCTTGTCTAGGATGACAAATTCAAGCAAGGGACGGCAGGCAACCGAAGTGGACCATACTACTCCAACATCGTGCCAAACTCCAGCTTGCGTCAGCAGCAGCGCCAGCACCTGCAATCCACACGTGGCGCGGGCAGTCGTCGACAGGAACAAGGCGGACACGCCGCCGCAAACATCTACGCCACCGTTCCGCTTGTACATGAGTATGACAACCCCAACACCGGCATTGCCACGTATCAAGAGATTGGGGACACGGCTGATGCGCGCGCCCACGCAATCTACAGCGAGATTGGAGGCAACGGCGCCGGCGTGTCTGTGGCCTTGCACAGCAACCTGGCATACGCACCTGTGCTGACAACGCCCGCGTACACACAAATGGACCCCGCGCACCCACACACGCGAAGGGCGCGCGCCTGTTCCCTGGACACGGCGAAGCAGCATGCAGCATACATGGTCATGTCACCACTCGTCACTGGCTCTGGTTCTGGTGCGTACCTTGACATTGAGCCAACACCGGCCCATCGCGCCACATGTGGCGAGGAAGGCACGGGTGCGCTCACTTTTGGCGAGAGCGTGCGACGCCCGACAATACGCAGAGACAGCGGAAGGCGGTGGTCATTCCCTGGTCTGCACGCCGTACAGAAGATGTCAGCCCACCAGCACAGGGCAGCGGCGCAAGGGCAGCAGGCGACAGAGGCACCGCGCGCAGTCGTCGACGCGTACATTGATGTTGAAGATGTTGGCATTGGTGCAGCTTCTTCCTCAACTTCATCGGGGTTGCCTGCCCCACCCGCACTCCAGCCAAGACAGGCCAGCACGGCCGTGTCAGGCATCGACTCACCGTCAACACGTGACAACCAACAGCAACCGTCGTCTGCACACACGGCACCAGTTGTTCCCATTCCATCACCGCCGCCACCACCACCGCTCCCACAAGCGGGTGTAGGTACAGCAGCCGCCGCAATCACAGCCAGTGCCACCAGCACTGCTGGCGCCACAAGAGGCGGTGGTTCAAACCCAGGCGTGGGCGTGCTGTCGCCACCACTACCTGCGTCTGCTGCAGCTGCTGTGGAGACAGCGACGGCATTTGCGCGCGTGAACCACTTGCACCAGCGCTCGATGATGCAGCGAAGACGAGATGGTGGCAACGACGACGACGACGACAACGACGACGACGACGACAACGACGATGGGGACGGTGGTGGTGGTGGTGATGTGGTTGATGCAGACGACGCTGGTTGCGATGATGCGACACAAGGTGGGCAGATTGGCGCTTACGATGCCGTAGTGGCGGAGGAGGGCGAGCTGACACTCGAATGAGAGCTCGAACGTGTGACTGTGATATGCGGTTGTGAACGTGTCTGTGAACGGGCACAGGTCTATGCCTGCGGATGTTGTTGTTGTGTGTTGTTGTTGAGTGTGGCATGGTGACAACACTCAACATGCAAGGTTGTGGTGACTATCACGCTGGTGTGCTTTTGCGTGTGTCAGCCACTGAAACGCCTTGTGGTTGTCGTGTGTGTATTGACATGGGCGTTTCAAAGAGGAAACAAGCAGTACAGCGTGACGGGGGCAAGCGGGGGTCATGAACCAGTGTGTGCGTGCTTTGATTACCAACCCCAGCGACAACCAAAGACGCACTCAGCCAGCACGCGCAAATACATATGAAAAAGCAAGGAAGTCAGCAAGTAAGCAAGCAGGGAAGCAAGCAAGCAGTCCCCCTCAAGTGCACGTCAATGTGTGTGTGTGTGTGTGTGTGTGTGTGTGTGTGTGTGTGTGTGTGTGTGGTAGACAGCTGTGGTCACTGTGGGGCGGAGGGCATGAAGAAGCCAAGCAGCCTGGCCCAGCGGGAGAGGGAGCGTTCAAACTCCTCAGCGCGCTGCAGTTGTCTGCTGAACCTTCGTTGCACCTCTTCCCGATCGAGTGATTGCACAACAACGGCCGGGCGTTGCCGGTTGCGCTGTGGAGCTGATCGAGGCATGACGCCACAGCCCGTGCCGCTGTTCTTGTCACGGCGGCTCGTGCTGGCGCCTTGGTTGTGCTGTTGTGCATCTCGCCGATCATCTCGTTGTGGGTGTGTGGCCTGTTGTTGCTTGCCGTCGTTCTTGTCCGCGCTCTGTGCGCTTTCGTTGGTGCTCATGTGCGGCTGTGCATGTGCCCGTGTTGCCGTTGCTGCTGTTGATGGCGACGACGATGACGAAGGATTTGCCCCTCTTCCCCGACCCGACGACGAGGATGAAGCCACCACTGTGGGCGTAGTTGATTTCATCGCGTCGGTTGAAGGGACCTTCCGGTAGGCCGAGGGGGAGCATGGGGTGTGTCGTGCAGCCATGGGCACGCACGACCCAAACGTCCGCCCCAGGGCCTCCATCCACGACGATGATGCCGAGGACAGCGGCAATGATGGCGCGGACGAGGCCTCTGCTGCCGTTGGCCTGGCTGGGGGCGGTGTGCAATGCTCGAGGAAGGAGATGATGTCCATGGTGGTGCTGGCGGGAAACCTGTTGTGTGTGGCGCCCTTGACAAGCTTCAGCTGCTTGTTGGCGACGGTGGTGGCTGCCTCAAACAGGGCTGTGCTGTGGCCTGGGCCAATCAGCGTGTCGTCCTCGCCATGCACGAGCAGCAGATTGGTGATGTGCAGCGAGTCAATCACCTCCTTGTTTGGAAAGCGGGTGGAGAGCACGGCGCCGAGGGAGGTGAGGTCGCGCGCCACGTCCCGCAGCGACGTGAACGCGCTCTGCAGGACGACGGCCAGCGGAGGGCCGTAATGGCGGGAAAGGTGGGCGCATGCCTGCAGTGCAACGCCAGAGCCAATGCTGCGCCCGACAAGGACAATTTGGTTGTGCTGGAACCCGAGGTTCTGCACGGCATAGTCGATGACTTGCTCAGCGATGCGCAGGCACCCGCCCTCGGACGCAGAGCCCAGCGCCAGCCCATAGCCCGGATATTCTGGAACAAGAAGTGTGGCACGCAAGCGGGTGCATACTGTCGGCATCTCCGTGTACGGCATGTCGCCCAGGTCCATGAAGTTGCCGTGAAAGTAAATGATGCACGGATGTTCCTGTGGTTGCTGTGGTTGCTGTTGTTGTTGTTGTTGCTGCTGCTGTTGACGATGGTGACGCTGGTGGGGGAACACGCGGCGGCTGGTGTAGGCGCGCTTCAGGCACGGGTCTCCCTTTGGTCCCAAGAAGACAATGTCACGCAAGACAGGATCCATCGTTGCAGACGTTGATGCCGACAATGATGATGGCGGGGAGTGCTGGGGTTGCCCGCCATAACCTGGCGGTTTGCACGGGAAGAACAGCCGATTCAACGGGCTCGCATCCTTGAAGAACTGCATGTCGGTCTAATGTGCTACTGATGCGGCTGTGGGTGGGATGGTCTGGCGTGTGTTGATGTGTGCGTGGTGATGCGGTGTGTGTGTGTGTGAGATGCGGTTGTGTGTGTTGGTCTTGAGGTCTCGAGCGAGAGTGTTCGCGGTGTCAACGATGATGACAAGCAACGCAAGTCAGCAAGCAACGACCGCTGCTGCTGTGTGTGTGTGCCGTTTTTTGTTTTGGGACTTTGCCACCACTACAGTTTATGGTGCGGATAACAGCAATGAAGCCAGCAGGAGGTTGGCGTGGTGGTGGTGTTGTGTTTGGTGGTGGTTGCGGTGTTGGTTGGTGTCGGTGTACGTCAGGGCTGCCAGGAGCGTCTCAATCCAGTTGCCAAGCCAGAGCGGACGCGTGGACGCAGGCAGCTTCAACACAGCCGCACACACCCGCTGTGCAGCCAAAAGCGAGGAGGAACCACGTGCGTCTGTGGGGTCCCTTGCCGTGGTGGTGGTGGTTGTCCTTGTGAGTTGCTTGAGGATGGACGCGGCATACTCGTGCAGCTCCGCTTGTAGTGGAAGCAGGTGCTGCAGGTTGCTTTGAGCACGCCGTACAATAGAGGCGTGCAGTGTGGCCAGTACATCGTCGTTGTTGTAGCGGTGCCCAAGCACCAGCGCAATGCAGGCAGCGGCGCCTCCCACTGCGTCCATTTCCGCGCTCTCCTCCGGAACGTGTGCGCGGCACCGCTCCCACAACGCTGCCAAGTGCTCATGATCTGTTGCAGCCTCGTCGCCGCCCGCATGGTCATCACCACCAATGGGGGTGTCCTCGCCACTTCTTGGCTGGACGTGGGTCCCGTCTCTTTGCTGCTGCTGCTGTTGTTCCTGTTCCTGCTGCTGGTGCTGGTGCTGGTGCTGGTGGTGCTGGTGCTGGTATTCTGCGAGATAGGCGGGTGCTGTGGCACGTGCAGATGCAACGAGGGGCTGGCATTCAACATGAACGGCCGCTATGGTGGAGATGAGGAGTGCGATGCGCTGAAGGAACGCCGCCTGTGCATGACGCGCCATGGCCGCTGGCATGCGAACACTTGACAGCGCCGGTATCAGCGCCTGCAGCAGTGACATGGTTTCCGACGTTACCCCTTCCATTGCACCCGTCTGCTTCGTCTCTGTCCATACGTTCACAGACAGTGATGGCGTCTCCTGCAGTGCGCGCACGTGTGTGCGTGTGTGAGTGGGCGTGTGTGTGTGTGTGTGTGTGCGTGTGTGTGCGTGCGTGTGTGTGTGTGTGTGTGCGTGTGTGTGTGTGTTTGTCAACGCTGCTGCTGCTGTTCACAATAGCTGCTGTCAGAGTTGCGTGTCTCACCGCCACGACGTAGTGCCACCAGAGCGGCGGCACGTAAAGGACATCGCCAGGCGCCAAGTGAGCGACAACGGGCCTGTTTCCAACATGCACGCCAGCCACGCAAACGATGAGAGCATGAGGCGTATGCGTGTGAAGGTTTAGAGTCGAAAAGGGGGTTGAATGGACTAGTCGTGACAAGAAGGGAAGGGGTAACATAACATCATCAAGCACAAGACACAAGACACATGACACACACACACACACTCACAACCATACACAGACAGACAGACAGACACACACTCACTCACAGACACACACACTCACACCCATACACACTCACAACCATACACAGACAGACAGACAGACAGACAGACAGACAGACACACACACACAACCATACACACACACACACAAGCACACACACACACATATATTTAGACCTGTGCTTGGCGGTAATGGACGCGAAGACGTCTGGATCAGTGAGGTTAGCACGTGCTTGTGCGTGTTGTGGGTGCAGGAATGGATACACACCAAGGTGGGCCACGGCATCAGGGGGAAACATGTAGAATGTCTTGCGGCCCTCAATCTGTTGTGACGTGACGTGACGACACAAGGCAGACAGCAACGCAACAGCAGCACACCGTCAGTGCCCACAGAAGTTGCGGATGCAAGGGGGCTCTTTGCAAACTTGGGCACTCTCGGACACACACACACACACACACGCATAGAGAGAGAGACACACACACACACACAGACAGAGACACACAGACAGAGACACACACACACAGACAGACACATACACAGACACACACACACACACACACA